TAATCTAAAAAGCCAATATCTGTTCATTTAGAAAATACAAATGAGCGAAAAGAATAAACTGTCATAATATCATCACTTCAGAATAACCCGGGTCAGGCTTCCCTGTAGCACAGTGGTTAAGAATCTGACTGCCAATGGAGGGAACACGGGTTCGAGCCCTGGTCTGGGAAGATCCCATATGCCACAGAGCAACTAAGCCCGTGTGCCACGGCTACTGAGCCTGCACTCTAGAGCTCGCGAGGCACAACTACTGAAGCCCACGTGCCACAACTACTGAAGCCCACACACCTAGAGCCCGTGCTCCTCAACAAGAGAAGCCACTGCAATGAGAAACCCGCGCACCGCAATGAAGAGTAGCCCCTACTCGCTACAACTAGAGAAAGCCCGCCCGCAGCAACGAAGACCCAACGCAGCCAAAATTAAATAAATTAAATAATAAATTTTTTTTAAAATCAGGGTTTTTTCTATGCATCCATATGCTTTACTTTTACAAAAATGCAACAATTATTTATATTCTGATTATAATCATCTTTTTATAAACGTTAACTAAAATGTTCCCATCACAATATATCCATATTACAATATCATTGTTAAAAGATTAAAAGAATTCAAGTGTACGATTATAACTTAATATAATCAATCTGATAGACATTTATGTTGCTTCCAGTTTATTTTGCTTTTAAATGTATTTTCATGGGCATCCATGAAATTTCCTAGAAGTAGAAAACTGCTGATTTATATACACAGCATCAAAGTTTCCAATCATCCATTTAACAAATGAGGACTGACTTTTACACCAGGCAGTGTTCTGGACACTTGGAATTCAACAGTTTAAAAAAAAAAAGAAAGAAAGCCTCTCTCCCTTGTGGTTCTTACATAGTAGTATATGAGAGGGTTCATTTCCCTGAACTCATGATATCATTGGACCTTTAAAAATCTTTTTTAATCTTTATTAAAATAGTTATTTTAATGTTTTACTGCTAATATTGATTATTTTTATAATTGCTTACTGGTTACTTGGTTTTTTTTTCTTTGATTGCATCTGCCAACCAACACCTGTGCATGCTAGTATAGGGCAAAAATCTTCACAGGAAAGAAGAATTATTTACAAAATGTGTGGCTAGTTATAAATATTTGTTATGGTAATTTAGACCTTTTAAAGTAGAAGTAGACCTTGAAAACAAATAATCTGCAAATTTCCTTTTAAAAATTCACCAAGTCAAATGATCTAAAAGATATAAAGACTGAATATGAATCACGTGGCTGAAGAGAACCACTTTTCTTCTGGGTATTATTTTTTAATTGCGTGCACTTAAAAAAGCTGATATCTTGAAGTTAGAAATCTTTTAGTTAGGAATACCGATTGACCTCTTCCAAAAACTGCTTTACCTACAGAACCAGCAATTTAAAATTCACAAGTGCATTTTCACTTTAGTTATAATTTATCATTTCTGTCTTTCATGAATAGAAAGGCACTGGGCTAAAATAATTCTCCAGGACATAGTCTTCCCAGAGCTGTGTCTGCTGGGCTTGAAAAATGCTATCTAGATATTTGCAGTTTAGAAGAACTTGTTTTGCAGATGGTGGTGGTGATGCTTCCTTCTCCCATCCCTGTAGCTCTTGTTAGTCACTGATCAGCAGTGGAGACAGACGTGAGGAACCTTTCAGAGATCCTTGGTTTGCTCAGGGTGGCGATCTCTCTCCCGGCTCTTGATTCAGAGTCTCAGTTTCACCAGCAACCCTACTAGCCCTGCTGAGAGTCTGTAACAGGGTGGATAGGACAGGAGAGAGGCTGCTGTGATTTAGACGCTTCCTATCTTTACTGACATTTTCTCTGAAATAGCTAACAAATTTTAAAGCGCCTAGCAGTGCACTGCAGGACACACTAGAAGCATTCCAAAACACTTCTTGCTTTCCTGTGCTTTAATGCTGGCTCCCATTTGTTGTGTGCCGTGTGCCAGGAATAAGATAAGTATTTAAAAGCTCATTAAAGTCTTTTACAGTGGTGCTATTATTTTCCCCAATACACACATAAGGAAATGAACCCATGAAGAGGTCACATAATTTGTCTAAGATCATCTGGTTAATAAATAACAGTACCTAAGAATTCTGAAACACAACTTCTTTTTGCCCCTGTCATGCACTGGTGGGCTGCATCTTCATACAACCCCACAGAAAAAAATGGAAATCTAGAAATTTTTTTTTCTCTCAGTAACAGGCAGCTCGTTGGATTTTCTTCAACCTCTGTAGTTCTCTCTGTAGCCCACAATACAGACACCCAGTGATCTTACCGGCTGCCCAGAGAGACACTAGGAGGGATTGCGTCTTGATACTGAAATGAAAAGACCCCATAAGAGAAATCTGTAGTGGAAATTTAGCTTAACAACCGGATTTCCAAGGTCCTTTACTGGTATTAAAAGCTGAATTGTGTTTCTACCCAACCAAATTCATATATTGAAGTCCTAATTCCCAGTCCTAATAACCTCAGAATGTGGCTGTTTTGGAGATAGAACCTTTAAAGAGATGATTAAGTTAAAACAAGGCCGGGCTTCCCTGGTGGCGCAGTGGTTGAGAGTCCGCCTGCCGATGCAGTGGACACAGGTTCGTGCCCCGGTCCGGGAAGATCTCACATGCCGTGGAGCGGCTGGGCCCATGAGCCATGGCCGCTGAGCCTGTGCGTCCGGAGCCTGCGCTCCACAACAGGAGAGGCCACAACAGTGAGAGGCCCACTTACCGCAAAAAAAAAAAACAAAACACAAGGCCATTAGGGTGGGCCCTAATCCAATATGACAGGTGTCCTTATAAGTAGAGGAGATTAAGACACAGACATACACAGAAGAAACACCATATGTAGACACAGAGAAGATGGCCATCTACAAGTCAAGCAGAGATGCCCTCAGAAGAAACCAACCATGCAAATACGTTGATCTTGGACTTCTAGCCAAGAATCATGAGAAAATAAATTTCTGTTGTTTAAGCTACCCAGTCTGTGGTACTTTGTTATGGCAGCCCTAGCAAACTATTACAAATGGAGTTGGATAATTACTAGTCTCTGAAACGAAGAGCTTTCCTGATATTTCAAAGTTTCCCTTTTAAAAAATCAGAAATCTGGGCCAGAAAAACAAACAAATAGTTATAGGTCAAATCCAGTAGGAAGAATTTCAAGTGATTTCACAAAGTATTTTTCTCATACTGGGATTTTATTGCCCCAAATGGAACTTGACCGAGAGACTCAGTGACTGGGACCTTGACATCTTACATCATACAGTTGAGTTTGGCTATGCTTATGGTAACAATGTTTGATGGGAAGCAAATTCTGAAGGAGAATGCCTTCTGGGTTTCTTCACACAGCTACTTGAATACACTTACTGTGGAAAAAATAAACCTTTGCAGTCTCACTATGGATGGGTGAACGCACGAGTGCCTGAGAAGTGATGCAGTGACTGCTCTTAAAATCAGAAGTGAATATGTACATGACTAATGCAAAGGGAAATCTCAACAGAAAGAGAAAAAAACTGAAGTACAAATTAAACCTTCTCCAAAGACATTAAAAGGAATTGTCTCTAATAGAAGTCCCTTTGACGTTCAGTTCACTAAATATTTTTTAAATGCATGCATAGAACTAAGGGGGAAATTAGAATTTAGAAATTAACCTTGACTCTGACCTCAAATCCTTCTTGATATGATATGAGAAAAAAGATACAGAGACAGCCATAATTTCATGTAGTCTTTGATAAAATCAGTAATGGAAATAAAAATTATAATGAAATCACGGAGGACAGAGAAGGTTACTTTCGCTGGGGCATTGGACAAGACGGGCTGAGAGAGCCGTTTATGGCAAGTCTGGAGACTCGTAGCATTTACACAGGTGGGGTTGCAGAGAGAGGGGCTTTCTAGGCAGACGGATTAGCACAAGGAAAAACAGATGTTGCTGAGTGCAAATCATGTTCAGTGAAAAAGTAGGAATCTGACCTGCTTACTTTAGGAGAAGTGTTGAGAGCATGGGGCCATCGACCCTGCACTTGGAGATGAAGGACTTGGATTTGAGTCCTGTGTTCCCCATTTACTAGATTTATAACCTCAGTCTCCCTGAGCCTCAAAGCCCTCATCTGTGAAACAGAGAATGATTCACACCCCACAATTATGAAGATTAAAATTGAGTACCCTATGTGAAATCTCCACTTAGCAAAAGCCGATATGCAATAAAAATTCAGCAAATGTTAACTGAACCTCAGGAGTTAAGATTTGATTCTGTAGTACGTGGGGAGCCGATAAGGTTTCTGAGTGTGAAAGTGAGATGAGACATTTGGAAATTTATCCCAGTATTACTGTGTGGAGAATGAATTAGAGGGCAGCCATTGTGCAAGAAGACCCATTAAGCAAGTGTTAACAATAGCACACCTTTGAGGCAGTCGGAGCCTGAAGCAGGGCTCCGCTGGTGGGAATGGGAAGGAGGTGATGGGTGAGAGGCTTCCAGGGCAAATGGCACTGGGATTTGCATCCTGGAACACAGACTGCTTTTCAGAATATTAAATTCTCGTCCTGTGGCTCTTTACTCAAGTAGTAGCTTGACCTCTATCGAGCTAGCTAACCTCTGTGGATTCCCAGATTTCTCATCTATGAAATAAAGAGATTGGAAAATGTCTAAGTATTCTTACAGCACTAGAATACTTCACGCCTATTTGGACCGATGAAATGTGTTAAGCTGATTCGATGAGAAAGTTAAGAGCATAAGCGAGGTAGAGAAATTAAAGACAGCATAAAGATAGCAAAAAGCTTTAAACGTGAGTTAGTAGGTCAGTAGATGATGTCATTACTAGGAATATGGAAAAGGAAAATGAACGGGTTTGGGGGAGAATATGATTAATGTCATTTCTGACCATTTAAAGGGCTATGCTTCAATTAGATTTGTGGCTTTGTTTTCATCAAATTATTTATTTTATATTGTCTTCTATATCATATAAGCATCAGATTTGAAAGCAAAATTTTTTAACTTATAGATTCTTTTCATTGGAGATTCGACCAACAGAGGGATAATGTACTATCTGATCGAAAGATTGAATGAAACCTTTCAAGAATGGCAGAAGGTGCATGGCACTAAATTCTATCACAACGTCAATGGTGGGAAGACTTTGATCAGTTATTCCTACTATCCACAGTTCTGGATAAGCCCTTCGTTGAGACCAACATTTGAAAAAGCCCTTGAACATCTCTTGCAAAGGTACAGTGGAACTATTTTGAATGAAACAATACCACAATGGATTGATGTTTTACTAGCTGTCATAATTGTTTGCTGTATATCAAATGCACTGAAAAGTTTAAATACCAAGTAATATGGCTGAAAACGAGTTAGAAATGACAGGGAGGTCCTGTGATCAGGATGCCAGATATGGTTCAATGAAATGTGAGGCAATGCTGTTAAAATGTTTACCATCTGTTTCAAGGCAACATGTGTTGTTTTTCTTTCAGATCACATCCCCTGGAGGATACCAGCCAGACTGTATTAGTCGTTGGTGGTGTTCAGTGGCTTAATTCCAATCACCTGCAGATTATTCACAAGGTTTTAAAGAGGTACATTTCTGCAATAATAATTAGTGTTCTAAGTAAAAAAAAAAAAAAAAAGTTACTTGATGTGAGAGAATTTTATGAAGATTTTATATAAAGGGCAGCTTGTAATTTAGAATCCAGTACTTAAAGTCTACTTTAAAATGTTTCAAAATACTTTTATATCCAATCACAAGATGGCTCTTCAGTATCCAAGTTTATGTTTACTCCAGATCAAAACATGCCCACTGACACATAAAACTCTATCCACAAAAAAAGAAAACAACACTAATATATATTAAACCTATAAAATGAGAATTTAGTCCTATACGCCAATTATCACATTCTAAAGGAATTCCACTCTGCTTGCTTTTGTAAACATGGACATCCAGAAATGTAATCAAAGTTCATGGCTTGCGTTCTGATTATTTCACAGGGAAAATTTACTCAATATCCTTGTGATCATCAAAACGTTGGGAATTGGATTTCATCTGCCGGTGGATGGAGTACATTTCCTAACGCAGGTAAGCCCATTTTCACCAGGCTGTGTGAACTTCAAGTTTCCTATAAGGAGCCTTGCTGGTGTCTGAAAAAGGACCCCAAAGGCACTACATAATATTAAGCAACCTTCATAAAATTCAAAGGAGATGATATACTTAAGGATTATGATTATAAATCAGATATAATTACTCCTGGAAATAAGGGGACTACAGCCCATAAATATGTCATAAATAATGCTTTGAGTTCATAAAAGAAGAAAGGCGGTACCGGAGTTTGAAAAGATAAAGACCTGATGGGTAGATGAGATGGATCATGCTTTAAAGTATCTCCTAACCTCAGTAATGTTTCACACACCGTTAAAGGCTCATGCTGAAACACATGTGACATTGTCAGCATCAATGAGTATTTAGGAAAAGAGTGTCTTTTTAAGATGATTTCTGACTGATTGCTTTAAAAACTCAGTAGTATTTTTAAAGTAGTATCATTCGTTTTGCCTCTGGTTGGATATTCGTAAATGAAAGGAGTTAGAGGCCTCTGACCGGTTCTTATAGAAGACAGTAACTAGTTAGTCTCAACAGTAAATAGAAGTCTCAGAAAAGAAAGGAAAGACAACATCTGTAGATAAGAGAACCAGCTGCCCTTGCTCAGCAAGAAGAGGTCACAGGCAGCCGGGTTTGTGTGCAATTGCTCAGGGGAGCTCGTGGGGGGGGGGCACTGGGAACTGGGGAGACAGGAGGCTGTCCATTTAATGTGTAAACCGAGTGAGATTTATTTTTGTGTCAGTTACGAGCGCTCCTAGCTTTCTCCAACAGGGATTACAGGATCCTCCTCTCTTTTCTCAAAACTTTGCCTGCCTGGCTGCCAGATCTGTGATGCCAAAGCAGGAGAACTGGTAGAAAGTGGCCCAAATAAAACCTCCAAATTCAGCCTCTTGGAGTCAGGAGGGGTTAAGGTCATTTAAAGTGAGTTGAGACATTTAGCATCTGGGGTAGATGAAGGGTTTGAGATGGTCGGGGATTAGGAGAGGGGTCTTTTGATAATTGTCTCTGTGGGTTATGAGTTGAATCTCCTTTCATGTTATTTGAAAGCTGCAGGTCAAATTTGTAATTCCTCCTTGAGGACTCTGGTAGCTCCGCTTTGCTTCCTTGACTGTGGCTTCTCGCAGGAACTGGAGTACTTGTGATGCCTGCTTCGATTTAGAATGAACTCATCTCTGCCAACAGTTCTTTGGCACTTAGCTTGCGCCAGACACTGTTAACCATCGTGCTTGCCACCAGGGCTTCCATTGCGCTCATCAGTCTTTGCAAACTGGGTGAAAACAAAAGGAGGGAAGAAGAGGAGGGGGAATGATAGAATGAAAGAGAAAAGGACAAGAGCAAGTGGAGGCAGAACAGAACTCTGAACTTGTCATCAGACACTGGCATTCATCATCCTCATCGTGGCCACTCAAGACGTGGCCTCCGCCTTCCTCCGTAGACTTAGTCCTTGCTTCCACACATATGCACACGTGTACACACACATGCGCGCGCACACACACACACACTCCACACCGAGTGTTTCAGCTCCTCAAGCATGCCATGCTCTCAGTCACCTCCAGGTCTTGGAAGTCACTGTTCCCTCTTCCCAAAGAACACTCTCCCACTACCCCCTCACCTGGGTAACTTCTGGTCACCCTTCACGTGTTAGTTTAAATGCAGTTTTCTCTGGGAAGATTTAATTGACACCCTGGACTCAGTTGGCTTTTCCTGCTATGAGCTCCTTTAACATTGTCCGGTGTCCTCATCCAGGTCCCTCAACAGATACCAGCTTTGGTTGTCTGTCTCCCCTGCTAGACTAATCTCTGTGGGAGCCGGCATGGGGGAGGGAATTCTGCATGACTCACTCTGGTACCCCAAATGCAAAACACAGTGCTCAGCACATAGGAGACTCTCAGAAAACCTCTCACGCATGAATGAGTGAGTGACGTTTTGTCGGATTTGCATGCTCCCAGATGGTCCCTTCAGGGCTGAGACATTCATTCCTCCGGGCTGCTGCGGGTGTGACCTGCGTCCCAGCAGGAATTGCCTTTTGGGCAGAGCCTCAACCAAGACTCAGCCCCCTTTCCTTAATTTGGGCCATCTCAGAAGGGCCACCCCAGCTCTAGAACTCCCAGTGGGATCAGCAAAAGCCTCTGTTGCAACGATGTTGCAGCTCAACTTCTCTCTCTATCCCGAGTGTAGGCCCTCACTCCCCTGGAGGAGCTGATCGCAAGGGCGCTTTCCTGATGGCCTCCTGCATGCAAATTTCTGACTCAGAGTCTGTTTCCCAGAGAACTGAACCTTCTCTGTAAAACACTCCCTGTAAAGTTTCTTCTACCTTTTATAATTGGACACATTAAAGTTGAGAGGATACTGTAACCAAACACGAAAAGGCCTACAAATGGTATTGAGCATTATTTTTCAGGGGATGGCAGAGACCAAATTCCCATCTGTCTCTTTTCCTCCAGGTTTCTCCTTTATGAGCCTTTTCTATTCACTGCATTTATTTGGGGGGCAGAGGGGAGCATTCTTCTTTGAATGTCACATAAAAATAGTTATGCAAGCACAGTGGAGAAGACAGAAAATTAGATGTCTTTGTACTGCTTCTTTTACCTTGCAGGTGGATTAATAAATGCAAGTAATTATTTGCTGTTTTACCTGGAAAATGAAAAAAAAATTTTTTTTGTTCTTTAGAAAAGACAAGGGGAGTTCAATTCCCTCCCTGTGTTAGTTTGGGTTCTCAAAGAGACAGACACCATGACAGGGTTAGCCAAATAAAGGGATTTATTAGAAAGAATGTTTGAGAAGAATAAAAAGGAGGGGGCAGAAGTAGGTGAGAACAGTTTCAGACCACACCACCCAATGCATATCACTCAATCTTGCATGAAATATTTTTTGAATGTCTGCTCTGTACTGGGAACCGTGTTTGACTGTAATGTGTCTGATATAAAGGGAGTAGAAGAAGGATGGATGAGGTAGGAAGAGTCTCAGACTATGGGTCAGTCTGAGAAAGTCTTGGCCAAGCCAATGAGGCATCCTGGAGCTGGAGTAGTTAGTGGAGGAGTCCCTCTTCTCAACAGTGGACCTGAACTAGAACCCCCACCAAGATCCATCATTGCTTCAGGCACAGCTGGTGAGGGAGGGAGGAATATGATTTAGAGAAGCAGCAGCTGGAGCCTTCACTCACTTCTGGGGCTCGCCAAAGCACTCTCCCCTTCTGTTTCCCCACCCTGTTTGCCAACCAGCAAACCTCACTCTGCTCAGGAACCCCTCTTGAAGTCTCCCTGTCCAGCTGTCCCCCTGCCCCTGCAGAGCTATTCCCTTTTCTCTCCCAGCCCAGAGCCTGGTATATTTACCTCCAATAAAGGACTTAGTAAATATTTACATATACGTTTCTCCTATTTGAATGCAATGTCTTAAGAGCAGTTACCATGGTTTATTATCCTTGTATTCCTGTCCCCCAGCACAGAGCTAAAAACAAAACATACTAATTAATACTCAAATGCCTAAAAGAATTCAAATAGATGGAGCTAGAATTTGTGATTTTCAAGTCTTGGTTTTTAAATTGAGAATCTTAGCTACTTCAGTGGATCTCTGTGGGCAATAAACCTAACTGCTTTTCATAGAAGAAAAAGTTCCAAACTCTGTGTCACTATAGATATTGATATATTGCTATTTTATATTTACATCAATGTTTATATAAGGGGAACATGAAAATTGGAACACATCTTAAAGAAATTAATTCTTTATCTTACAATAAGATCAATCTTTAAAAAGACAATTTACATGATTTTACCTGAATTATTAAATCATAAAAGTCTTCTTAATCAAAATTCTCATTGTTCTCTTTTCCAATACAGAGTGAAGTTCAGAATTTATGGAAAGAAAATTTGATTATTCTGGAAGCTGCAAAAAAATATGGCTATGAAGTGGTTGACACATTCACTATAACAATGGGGCGATACAAAGAGTTTTTGCAGGGGACGTGCGGATGTCATTTTCATGAGGTATTTATGCTGGCTCTCTGATTTTTGTAGCTTTTGATTTTTTTAAATTTCTCATTATATCTTTAATTGCATTGTCAGTCTTATTTTGCATTAAAGAAACCATGTCCGGAGGAGATTAAACAATGTGTTCATCATCTCTCAGCCAAAGCACGTAGCAGTGCCAACTCGAGGTTCTACAAAATGAAGTGTGTTAGAATAATTACTGTTTATGTAGACACCTGAAAACCAGAATCACTGGTCAACATGAGCAGGAAGATGGGAACCTGGAGAGCACTTGTCTTTTCTAATAGGCTCCAAGCCTTCCCATCAGAAATTGTATCCAAAGAAGGTGGCAAATGTCCTAGTGGAGCTTGAAAATCAAGGCTAAATTGATGAATGAGCTTCCTCCACTGGTTTTATCCAATGCATTAACCAGAGGGCCTGTGGTGTTTATTTGTTTGTTTTCCTTTGTTAGGTTTGGTTTTTTGTTTTGTTTTTTTTTTTTTGGCTGCACCGCGTGGCTTATGGGATCTTAGTTCCCAGACCAGGGATCGAACCTGGCCCCAGCCAAATTCTAACCACTGGACCACCAGGGAATTCCTGGAGGGCCTGTGTTTTGAATAGTTTTTCCTTCCTAGTGGTGGAAATGATTTTATTTGTAGCCAGTAATTAAATAGTCTTAGCTGAGAAGGTGATAGCAGAAAATATTTTTTTTCCTTCCCCCCGCCCTGCCCTTTCAAACTCTGTGGATTATTTCCTCCCTACACTTGCATAAAATATTGGTAAGTCCCAATATTTTAAAGCCACTTTCAGATAATAATAGGACTTCAATCACTTTCAGGTACAAGAAGACTCTCACTTCAGTACTAAAATTGCCCAGTCCTGTGTTATAACCACATGAAGGTATTTCCTTCCCCCAGCTCAGGCCTGCCTCAGTCTCAAAAGCCCAAAGTAAGAGAGAGGGTGCAGGAGGCTCCTTTCCTTTTTCCCCCATCGTGCTTTGCTACTCTTCTCCCATCCCTTTCTTCATTGGGTCAGGTTAGGGAGATGTTAAGGGCAACAAAAGTCTGACCTGAGTGGCATAAGCGTAACCCATCGATGTGCTTTCTGGGCATAACATGCTGGTTCTTTCCTTTCAACGTGCTCTTGTGAACTTTCTTGAAGACACTCCCACCGAGCCCTCTGATAATAGCTTCTTTGACAGAGGCAATGTCTACCTTACAGCTGCATTCCTTCCTTGCCCCCTTGGCTTCCAACTGTCCATCCCTCTGTTGGGGGTCACATTGCTTCTCCAGGCTTCCTCTTGGAAAATATTCAGCATAGCACCAGGCTCACTCTACTTAGTTGTCCACATTTGGTCCACAAGAAACACCCATGCATCCTTGCTCTGCTGTTGCTAGAAATACAGTGAGCTCCCAGTGCATCCCTGTCTCTTTTTTCTCTCTTTCTCTCTCTAGCTCTCACTCTCGCTCTCTCACTCTCTCTGCCACCTTAAAGCTGATCTATAGCCGTGGTGTCTCATACCAGTTCTAATGCTTCCAATCCCCAAAGGACACATGTCCGCCTCTCAAAGTTGGTCTCTTGAAGTCCTGTCTCACTTGGCTTAAAGCAAGGATGAAGCAACTGCCCAAGATGGAGGAAAACCATAAAGTATTGGGGAAATGTCCTTCACAGAAATTCTTTCTCTTCCTTATTCTCCTTTTCCCAACACCTAATCAGACAAGGGTTTGCTAAGCAGGATTTTGTCCACACTTTTGCATACATTGCCCGTACATTGCTTTGGACTATGAGGTTACTTGGCTGCTGTTGTTGGCTTTAGATCTCAGGAGCTTCAGCTGAAACTGCGATGGAGATTGTCTCGTTTGACCGTCCTGTCAGATACTGATCCAGTTGTTCTTTCTGGTGTGGCCCCCTTTGTAAACCAGAGTGCAGTCATGAGTGGGTTGACTAGTGAGGTGACAACTAAAGGTTTCTTCTGATCCTGTTTTTCAGCCCTAAGATGACTATCAGAATCCATCTCGATCCTCAGATTTTTATGAATGTCCAAAAGTTATTGACACTGCATTGGTTCTTCTGTATGTTCTGCTAATGAATTCATGTTATATTTTTGTGTGGCAATGGAACTACATCTCAGAGAAGCGAGAGCCTCCACCAACAGCTGAGAGCATGGCATTTTAGCAACTTGAAGCTTGGCCATGCTGTTGCAGATCAGATTTTTAAGCTGTAGGATACTGTGTGTCTACTTACTTCTTCCATAAGAAAATATCCTTCCAATGTCTTTCCTATTTACAAAAGGTCAAGACTTAGAAATACAAGAGCAGGTAGCTTGAAAGGAAGAAACTGAACTTGCAGCTGAGCCAACCTAGTATCACCATAACCATTTTGGCTGTAAAAACAAGCCAAAGGTTGCCAAACCCACAGAAAATGGGGGCTTTGAAAGACAACATACATATGACAACATACAGAGGTTTTTTGCCTCTTTTAGAAAAGGTTTACTTATTTACTTTTACATAATGTGTCTCCAGTTAGTATTTTGGGGGAGGGTACCTGTTTTTCTTTTTTCAGCTTTAGTGCTCTGGAAGTCTAAAAAAGAGAAGTCCTCTACTGATTTCCCACATGGCTCCAATTAAAAACAAAATGTGCGGGAATTCCCTGGCTGTCCAGTGGTTAGGACTCCATGCCTTCACTGCTGAGGGCCCGAGTTCGATCCCTGGTCGGGGAACTAAACTCCCACAAGCCACACAGTGCAGCTAAAACAAAATAAAAACTGAAGATGCCCTTCCCACATGATTGTCACAGGATCAACCAGTTGACAGTAGGAGTCATGGAATTTGAGAACTACAGTAAAGACTCTTTGAACCATCAGAACTAGAATATTGGCTTATAATTATTACTAATAAAAACCATCCTTAATTTCCATAATCATGATTTAAGCATGTCAGGTAAAATTACTTCGCTTATTTGATTTTATAATTTTTTGTGTGCAATTATTATACACAAATTGTGTTTTATTAAACCCTATTTCTAATGTGTGCCACCTTGATGGCAAGCTATATAGGTATTGCCCAAATTATCTCTGTTGATTCTCAAGCAGTGTTATCCATTTTGATGTTTTCCTGTTGGAGCTGAAATACTTCTGGAAGCATTCGCCTTTCCAGTTACAACATGGAACTGATAAGATCATCTTTCTCAACTGACTCCCTTTATCACAAAGTCTCTAAACCCATTCATCACTTGGGCATAATTGTTGCTTAACTCTTGAACAATTTGTACCACTTGTACCTCAGGAAGTTTCCAGTGCTGACACGGATGTTTTATAATCTTTCTAAACCATCACCCAACATCTTGAGTCACTGTTTAGCTTATTATAAACAATCAAGAAAATCGAAAGCTTTTTGCAAAGGATGATTTGATGATGAATGTGGCAAGCCAAGAAAACGTAGATTACTCGTCTCATACAAAACATTAAAGGCAGAAATGCACTAATAACAACCATTTCTTCCTCTGTGCTGGACTCAGGAGCTGGGAAAGGAATTTGTTGCACAGTAAAAGCAAGCATTAAGATCTACTGTATTAGAGCAATAAGATTTTGGGTTTGGGAGCCTTATATCTTTTGGTGTTCAATTAAACCATTCCCACTATAGATTCATAGATACCTGAGAAGGATTGCTGTAATCATCACGGTAAGATCTCGATGTGTTCTCTTTGATTTGTGGTGAGAATTCTATCCTAGACATAACAAACCTGCTCCAGTGGGCTCTTGCTGCCATAGGTGAGATTAAAGGTCTTGGGGTGTCTCTTTCATCTGTCAAGTCACCAAGAGAGGATATGTTGCCACCATGAATCTATAAACAATTTCCCAACTGGTATGCGTCAGTTTCGACTAAAATGTTCCTGCTGATTAGAAAAGCAGGTGTTTCTCTTCATGGGTAGAAGTGGAATTTGTTTTCCCAGTGTTTATACAGGACAACAAACAGGATCCAGGTAGCTGTCGCCCAAGAGTGGTTTTGGATGGTGCCTTTAGTTATGTGGCAAACATCTACTGTGAGTGAGCTAAAACCTGGAAAGGAGACAAACATATTACCAGCCCAAACCTGGCTGCACAAGGGGCAAACCCACAACCAATTGTTATGCACAAACTTTCTATGATGTCTCTGTTTTCTGGCAGATGCCGCTCTAGCTTTTGACTCAGTCAAAAACAAAACAAAACAAAGCAAAACACAGAAACCCTCCGGCATCACCGCCCAGCTCTAATATCAACAGGTTTCCTTTTATTCTTGCACCTTGGAAAGAAGAGGTTTTCAGTTCTTTGCCAGAGATGATTTCCTGTTATTATTTAATCTTAATTAAATTAACAAAAGCTTATCTGGCCTAGAAATGTTTTCCTTCTGTATTGTGGACCTAAAGGTTTTCTCTTTTTCCTTCAAACTTTCAAAGTTTATTATGAACACAGTTGAAGAAAAAAGCCTTTAAATTCATCTCTCTAAAAAACTGAAATATTGACTTTTCAAGAAAAAATAACTGATTCAAGTATAGTTTCTTACATAGCAGATCCCAGAATTTAACCATCAGCATGGCTATTTTTAATAAGTTAGTAATAGAAATCTAATGCAACAAATTTTTGAGTGTCTGTGTAGGCATTGTACATTGTGTAACTGCTGTCAAATGAAGTAGAAAACATTTTGTAGAATTCCTATAAGCGTCTCAAACTCAACATGTTTCCAAATTGAGAATTAATATTCCCTTTACGCTCTCTTGTTATCTTGTATTCCTGAATTCACTCTCTTGCACTGTCATTTACAAGCTAGGGTCATCCTTGACTCCTCCTTATGTTTCTTCAGCCCCCTAGCAACTTCCAGCCAGCTAGTTGCCAAATCCTGTTTACCTCGTAAATATTCTTCCAAGTCTTTCCCCTATACTCTGTTCCAATTGCCTCGACCACATTTATTCTTTTACTTAATTGTCCAATATTTATCTTTTGAGTCCAGTTCTTGAGCTAAACAAGAGTAATGCAAAAATAA